ACACACACACACAAACACACACATATACATAAACACTCACACATACCGTCCTATTACAAGGAATCAGTACACACACACACACACACATACACACACATACGTACATACACATACTTCCCAATTTACATGAAATCTGTATACATACACACAGACATACCCTAACCCTGCCATATTCTGTTACGGAAAGGGCCTTCAAGATCAGTTCAGTAGAAGGAAATTAATAATAAAGTTGTTCTCTCGTCCCTGTGACTGTATTTATTTACGTGTGTATATGTGGGTGTGGCCTTGTGTCTCTTTTAATGAACGGTGTTTTCTCATTCTTGTATTTAAAAAGAAATAGTTTCCTATTCATCTATTCAGCCGACCCATGAGTTTGTCATGCATCTGAGTTATAAAGAACGCTATTTATAAAAAAAAAAAAATAAATAATTACGTGAATATATGTATCTGGTTGATATTTTCTAAGCTTTTTACTCTGAATGATCGAATTCAGTACACCAGCAAAATTCGAACGAGAACAAACAGACATTTTCCGTCATCCTAGAGACCAAAGATTTCCCAAACAGGGGTATCTATATCCAAAGTTTGCGAGATGCAGTTTCCTGTGTAGTTTCTGTCCACGGGTGACGGGTCATCTCTCAGCGACCGGCTAACGTCTCTGGAGAGCGATAGGGTCTGTTGGTCGCTGCAATTTAATCACTGACTATAATAAAAGCGCTATTTTAATATAGCCATTTAATTTAGGAATTCGGTTTTCTTTTATCAATCAAACCAAAATATTAGAATCGCCTGAATTCATTTTACTATTTATATTCTTTTAATTCATTTTACTATTTACATTTTTTTAATTAAAATCTAATGACTCAAATTATAATTGCATTTGTGCTGAGTTAAAAGCTTATTTGTTAAATTTCATTAATTCACCCTCAATAACGTATGTGATTCAGAATTGTAATTTAAATTTCATCTTTAAATATGATGTTACTTTTTTAGTGGGTGCAGACATTTCTCAAACATTTCTTAGGTACCTAGAGCATAAAAACGTTAGGGAAAACCTGTCCTACATATTTGCTACATTTTTTTCTTTATCTGAAACAGGGTCACAATAATAGGATTCTCCGTGAATATTTAATTCATTGAACTTCAATGGTATAAGCTAAACTACATCTGGGGCATATCAGATCATCGAGAGGGCTCTTGAGTGGGCCTTCGGCTTGTTCAGGAACTTGAGAGTCCTTAAGTCTTTGCATATTCTCAGCATTGGAAGCCCTCCTGGCTGCCGTTTGAGCTGGGTTTTTCATTTACACGGGACTTTTTTTTCCTGGCCGCTGCCTTGGCTCTTTTGATTGCAATCTGGTCCTCTGTTGGCGGAGATTTCCTTTTGTGAGGCATACTGCTGCCGTATGCAAGAGTCAACAAGAACTCATAATCGACCGCTGCATTTAAGTATTGTATTCATATTTAATCTTACCTTTTAAAATTTCAACGATAATTCTTCTGCAGTGACTCAATTTAAAGACAATTTGATATACGTAGGTGCCTAGTTTCCGTACAAGCAATTATTTATATTTCATATTTTCAAAATTATTTTTCATATTTCTGGATTTCGCAACTAATTTCGAAATTCCCAAATTTATTTCCAAGTTATAAAAATTGTTATCGTACCAAAAAAATTGTCGCAAAAAAATTACGTAAAACTCGCATTTATGAAAATTTGTAAATCCTAAAATTCAGGATTGCGGGTCCGGATCCTGGCCGAAATATTTTTAATTTGCTCATTTGCTCATTCCAAAATGGTGTGATATTTTGGGCTATAGCCTCTAAGAGTAAGGTTGGAAAGTGTAAAACAGCGACACACTGACATTCGCATTTATTTATATAGAAGCTTAGCTTAATCGGGAACAAAGGGATTGTGTAACATCAGTTATCGAAACTATCTAACCCTCTGATAAGCGGATGTCATTTCTGCAAAACACGAAGTTTGAAAGAATAGATCTCTAATCTGGATCTCTACAAAATATGTGAACCTGATGGTATCTTTGTAATAGTCTTTAATAAGTGTGCTCCCGAACTGGCTCCGGTTTTCTCTAATGTATATAATAAATGCATCTCTGCCTCTAGTGTTCCTGCTTGCTGAAATCTTCATTTGTTGTTTCAGCCTAAGAACTCAGAACAGTCCGATCCTTTCAAGTATCGGCCTATTAACCACCTACCATTTTTATTTTGGTAAACTACTAGAGGCCTTAATCAACACCTAATTAGTTAAACACCTCACATCGCATGGTTTTCTTTCAGACGAGAAATATGGATTTCGTTTCTCCAGGTCAGCTGCTGATATATAAAAGATTATTGCGGAAAGAGTTTATCAAGCTTTAGAAAAGAAAGGTGAAATTCGGGCTGTTGCTTTGCACATCTTGAAAGCGTTCGACAGGGTTTAGCATACCGGACTTCTTCACAAGTTTATAAGTTATGGTGTCCCTAGATGAATTTTTGATTCAGCTTTTATGAAATCCTGAAATAAAAGTTATCAGGAACAGTCATTTTTCTAGATTCTTCCTGATGGCATCAACTGTTAACTTAAAATCTATGCTGATGACACAACCATTTAGTCCTGTCTCGATAGTTAGTCTGATCAGTTCGAAAAGATCAAATTGGCGGCTGCTCTAAAAAATGACCTACCGTCTGTTGTTAACTGGGGCATAGAATGGTTTGTTAATTTTAACGCCTACAAAACAAAACTGCTCCCTTTTAATTCATCTGAGAAGCTCCTTTTTGCCTTCCATCAGCATGCCTGATGCTAAACTCCAGGAGAGTGACCCAATGCGGCTTTTCAGACTAACATTCTCTGCTGACATGAAGGGAAAATACTATATTGAATCCATCGCTAGATCTGCTGCTAAGAAATTTCGTTCACTGTGTTGTGCTAGACACTTTTCTTACACATAACTTACATATCTATATATTTTCTTATGACTTACATATCTATATAGTCTATATCAATATAGTTTCTTACGTCTGACTTACATATCTATAAGTCCACCACTCACCCATGCTTCGAATATTGCTGCTTTATATGGTCTGGTATTCTTGCTATATATTTACAGATTCTTGATAAAATCCACAGAAGAATCAGCAATATTATGGGTCCTGATCTGGCGTCTTGGCTTCAGTCTCTTTCCCACCCCCATAAAGTTGCTGCCCTGTGCTTTTTCTATAAATATTTTCATGGTAATTGTTTGGATGAACTATTCGCTATGATACGTCGACTTTATGTATTTAAATACAGTACTAGATTAGTAACAAGACCTCATCAATTTACCTTTGAATTGGCTAATTGTAACCGTAAGTTCTATGCTAACAGTTTCTTTTCTAGTTTTTCTCGCTTGTAGAACATTCTTCTGACTCTATGCTTTCCAGTCAAATTTGATCTTAAAAAATTTAAATGCAATGTCAATTGTTATCTAATGTCTTCCTGATTACTCTTTTATTATTCTCGCTCCTTAATAATGTTTCAGTTTTCTAATTCTTTAACACTCAGTAATCCCTTGTGTCTTAGTGGCTCTGCTGCCTTGCATGGGGTGAAATAAAACACTTTACTTCATAAAAGAAAAACTGCTTGCTTTAAAAGCGTCATTCCTAAAAATATACTTGTCGACCGATTATTTTTGTTTGTTTTTTGGCGAAATATGTGTGTTATCTTTGTCGTTAATGTTCGTCATCATTTTAATCATCATCATCATCATCTTGTTCTTTTTTCTTCTTTTCTCCTCCCCCCCTCTCTCTCTCTCTCTCTCTCTCTCTCTCTCTCTCTCTCTCTTTATATGTGTGTGTTCTTGTGTGTGGCGTGTGAGTAGATTCTTCACATCTCGTACACGTTCCTTCGACAAAACATCACCTCACATGAGACTGTCATCCATAAATCTCGCATAGGCAAAAACAACTTTGATTTAATCTTTTAATATAAACAGTGACAGAGAAACAATTTTCTCACCTGATTTCCTTTCATCAGCTTTGAAAAACTGGAACCTTTTTCCTCAATTTTATTTCCTATCGATGAACCCATATCTTCAAAATTACAGAATTTTAACACAGTACGGATGCTTTCATCCGATTTTGTTGTCTTTTTGGATTTGTTTGTGTTGTAGTTGGGATTGGGTTCTTGTTTTACCTGCGCTGATTTGGAGTTGAAACTCGTTTATAATGACACGGAAATCTCAGTTGCTTGTGTGGACAAAACACATTTATCTCCAGGATTTAAATAGATTTTTTTTTCTGTTTGAATTTTTGGATTTGCTCCTTCCCATTGTCAATAAACTCAATGTTATTTGCGTTGCTTTCCCATCTTTTAGGCCTCTATTTCCTGTAGGCCATTAAAATTCTTGATACCAACTTCCGTTACGCTATTTAAATTCTTGCTATCAATTTCCTGTAAACCATTAAAACTTTGGTTCTAGTTTCAATGTAAAAGTAAACAGAATGCTGTGCTTACCGGGTTCTTTGCATAAATCAGATTTTTTAATCACAACATCTTTTCTTTTTAGATGTTAAATATTTTTGAAATACTTCCAAATGACTGGACTCTATTGTTCTAAAGCTCTATATCATTCACTAGAGCCATTTCGAAATTCAACGTGAGCACTTGTAAAAAAGTAATTCAATAGAAATTAAAGGGAAAATGGATTTCACCTATTGTATTTAAATACAGCAGAAGATAGAAAGAGAAGAAGTAGAAACACAAAGAGGAAGAAAATAAGGAAAAGGAAAATAAGAACAGAAAAAAGACAAGAAAGAAAAGAACAAAAAGGAAAGAAAAAGAAAATTAAAAGAAGAAAAGGAGAAAGAAAGAAAAGAAAGGAAAATAAAAAAGAAAATATTTCCTTTCAGAATTGACACGTTCGGCTTATTTCTCTCTTTTTTTTTCGTATTTTGTCATTAAGATTTTATTTTTTTTTAATTCTGTTTTTCAATGTTTTCTCTATTTCATTTTTTTGACGATTTAGAAAGAGTCATTTTCATCTTCCTCCCTCTTTCTCTCTCTCTCTCTCTCTCTCTCTCTCTCTCTCTCTCTCTCTCTCTCTCTCTCTCTCTGTTTCCTTGTCTTTAACTGTCTCATTCTGCTACCTGGCTTTGTTCTTCGCTTATTAATTTTTAAAGAATTTTAAGAATTGGATGCGATCCCTGAAAAAAAAAAGGACGACTCGAAACGTTAAAAAATACATAAACACTCTTGCTAATGATTTCGACACCGATGTACTTAAACTTCAAGGATGAAAAATGAAGATGGCGTATGAGAAAAAGAGAGAAAATGCTCAACCCATGCTTCATGCTCAAGGGGTCTGTTCAACTGTTTTGCCTTTTTTCTTTTTTTGCTAAAGATCATAAAAAATCATAGCGCGAAGTGGAGAGAAGGAGGAGGAAAAAAGTAGGGGAAAAAAGATTAAACATAGAAGGATAAAAATTACCTCGCCAGCGAAAATTATGTGTATTAGCGGTAATTTTCTGTTTTGTAATTAGAAGCTGTGGGCAAACAAAAAACATCATCCACGAGAACAACAACAACAACAACAATAATAATAATAATGTCGACAAGCAGATAATTTCTATATACATGAGACGACGATTCTGCAATTTTTCTATGCCTTAAGGCACAAGCGAAACAAAGTTAGCAATGTGTGTGTGTGTGTGTGTGGATACACAGATAGAATCAGTGAGTGACGTGCAAGTAAGAATTTTTTCAAAAACAGAATAAAGAGAAATAGATTACAGAGAATTGACGCTTAATATATTTGTCTATCTAATTATGCTTCTGTGCATATATCTATGTCATTGGAAATAATCGATATGTATGTAAATATGTATAGTGATTTTCCAAGCGTAGTTCAGATGTGGCACGAGGACGAAAATATGGGGCACCCAGTGAGGATCGAATTCACTACTCAGTCAAGACAAGCTTGCTAACCATTACACCACCTCGAGGTGCCTCATCTAAATATGTATATAAGTAGGTAGTAATGTGGGTTTGACGTGTATATATATATATGTATGTATGTATGTATGTATGTATGTATGTATGTATGCGTGAATGTGCGATAACGATGGTTGTCGACTCTTTTAACCGTGTATGACTATTTCTAACACAATAATATTTAAGTTAGTACAACTGACAACATTGGAAACTTACAGTGTTACACACATTTTATACTGAATGTGCGTTCCAAAAATACATTTCTTTTTTTTTTTTTTAGAATTATATCCACAATAAATTAATATGCAAAACTTGAAATATTACGCTATGAAATTGAAAAAGATAAATATGAACTACAGTTACAGCGTAGAAAATTTGTTAAATAAAAAAAATGAAATCTGCAAGTCACACACACATACACACACACACAATTTATTTCCAAATTATAAAAATTGTTATCGTACAAAATATTCGTCGCAAAAGATCACGTAAAACAATTGCCAAACACAATCACAGTAATGAAAACCTGGGAATTCAAAATTTCAGGATTGCGTGTCCGGATCCGGCCAAAAATATTTTTAATTTGCTCACGGAGTCGGTTTGATTCCAAAATGGTATGATATGTCTGGCCTCTAGGAGTAAAGTTGAATTAATGTGACACAGTGATACACTGACATTCGCATTTATTATATATATATATATATATATATATATATATATATATATATATATATATATATCCACACTGAAATTCGACAGTCTGTTTCAAGCTTGAATATAATCTTCAGGTTTAATTGTTTGGGTTCAAGCATGACTGACTGTCGCCGATCGGTGTTGATCCCAATATCCACTTTTGTTTTTACATACGCTCAATACCTGATATTGAGTACTTTTACTCATAAATATAGCATACCTTAAAACAATATTTTTACCATATATATAAATGAAATTGACTAATCCTACAATTATTTTAATATATTTTCTGTTTATACGTTTATTTTATAGATACAAATATTTAAGTAAATTCTCAGTTGATAATAAACAGTATTAACTAAATTTACCGGCCTGAATGTCCGAGAAATTTCATAGAAAATGTGTCCCCCGACAGGAATCGAACCTGTCTCCTACACGGACCCGTCATATAGACTGATGTGCTATAGCATTTAGAGGAAATTTGACTTTGCTAACTAGACGCTTCCTCTGTAGCTAAATATCAAGAGAGACGAAGTCCTATTGACTTGCGTGGCAACTGGTCTAGAAGAAGGACAACTCTGAATTCAAAACCTGAGGAGGGTCGTTTAGAGACATTATGGTACACTACTTACACTTGCTTTATATTCGGTTCTTTGTTATTTATTTATTTATTTATTTATTTCATCATCATCATCATCATCATCCTTCCTCCCCCTCCCCCTCCTTTGATTTCTGGTGTGTAGACATTTCTTTCCGGGTCCCACCCAGAGACCTAAGGTCAAAAATGGTATCATGACATTTTCCACTGACCAATTAAAAAACAATTATTATTTTTATAATGTTGTTTTTTTTTCTAATTGTACATTAGTCAGCCAATCAATCAATTTTAAATTATCCCATAATCTAACTCATGTTTTACACTAAGGCAGAAAAATCCACATTGCATTCTTCTTCTATGTGCCGTGTCCCTTCAAGACGTGTGTGATCATTTCTCTCCACAACTTCCTATCCTTTGTCGACCTTAGCAATTTTTGTCTTTTTGCTATATCTCCTAATCCCTGTACTGCAAATCATTTACATAAGATCGCTAGGGTAGGTTAGTCGCAACCTCCCTCTGTCCCTTCAATATGTTGTGTGAGTGTCAAATTTTCCAAACACTCTTTCCTCATTATGTGCTCTAGAAATACTTGTTTCTGATGCTATGTATAAGTGTCCTTTTTGTTTCCATTTTCTATCACGTGTTCAGTCCATAATATTCTCAGTATCTTTCTGTAGAACCACATTTCTGTAGCTTCGTGTTTCTCCTCCATCTGTGTTGAAATTGTCCAGCATTTATTGCCATATAAGAGGAGTGATATTACATAAGAGTTCAGTACTCTTTGTTTCTAAATTTTCATCAGTTTAAGATAAAAACTTAACTCATTCGAGAAGACATTATTTAAAAAGAATTATTAATCTTGCATCTAAATAGAGAATTCCTAATTACAAAAAAAGTTAAACCTAAGTTTTTTTTTCCCTAAAATTGTCAGAAAAAGCAATTTTAATATGCAATAAAACATTTTTCTTAGTTTTTCGAAGCGAATAAAAAAAAATCGATAACTTCTAGTTATTACCCCACGCCCACAAAAGATTAAAAAACCGTTATTTTTTCAATTTATTAACATAAGATTACATGGCTCACTTTATTTCTCGAGTCGAATTTTCATTTCAGAAACTGAACAAGTCGATTAGTGTTGTGCCTTTTACTCAAACACGCACCTATTGTTGACCATGTCACGCAAAGAAAGAATAAGAAATACAGACGTCCAACGTTTATCGTTTTTTTGTTTTTGTTCTGTGTGTGTGTGTGTGTGTGTGTGTGTGTGTGTGTGTGTGTGTGTGTGTGTGTGTGTGTGTTTTGTTGTTTTTTTCTACATCCATTGCTGTAGCCATTTGTCTTTGGACGTGGACGGGGGCTTTCTGCATGAAACAATAACAATTCTTATGCTGGATATTATCCGCGAGTTTGGGAATTATTTAAGGCATTATCGTATCAAACGAAAAGGTAATGATCGATGTGATTAATCTTTAAATAAATTTTGACTTGTGGCCTTCTGAGCTGCCGGACATCTTGTTATCGCCGTGATGTAGTTGCTATTTACTAACATTAGGTCGACCCAGGGTCACAAGTATGACGCATTCAGTGAGGATTGAACGGTCAATAAAACCAACTCGCTAACCGTGGTGCTTTCTATCCGGGTATTTTTTTATCCTCTATTGTTGCTATGTTTTCTGTTATTTCATTAAATCAGATAACGCTTAAGGACTTTAATTTGGACGATAGCGTTTATATTTGTTAATAATTATTAACTTTATGGTTGGGGGATTAGACCGTTAGCATTACGACTATATGAACCGCGTTTGAATATCACTCTGGCCGATTTGCCAAGGCGGTGACTTTTTGATCATGTCGATATGAGGAGACGATGTCAGTGTGCGGAACCGTTTCGGAAGTACCTAAAAACCATCGTTCAAGTTGACGAAACTACTCAAAATCCGTCTATGGCTATGCTAGCAAATCATTTTAACCGAAGATGATATTTAGTTTTCAGTTTAGTTTTAAAAGTGGGTGCGGATTGATGCTACCCCCAGCGCTCCTTCTGGCGCCGTAGATGATATAGTTGAATGGTTATAACATTAGCGTGCCGATCATAAGTACCAAATTTGAATCTGACTATTTTCAATTTATCAAGGAGATGGCATCTTGATAATATCGGCCTGTGGAGACAATCCCATCACAAGAAGTACCTGATAACCATAACATGGGTTGACGCAAGCCTTGTGTGTGAAATTAGGTAGAGGAAACTTTTGGGTTTTGCAAGCGGGAAGCTATAAATCATTGTGAAAACGGATTTGAGCATAGTGGTCTTATTTAAACGGATCATCACACCAGATTATGAGCTCCCTTCCAGAAAGTGTAACAAAAGTCTGCTCAGTTTAGTTGGCTTTTTGGCTGTTGAAGAAATGCAAATAATCATCAACAGTTGTCTGCGACAGACATTCTCGGAAAAGAGCAGACAGCAATGATTATAGCTGTTTTTCTTCTATGTGCCATTTCCCTTCATGACTTTCGGGAACCATGGTTCTACGCAATTTTCTGTCCGTTTTAAGTATTAATAATTTTTTTCTTTTTATCTTTCCTCCTAAATCTAGTTTCGCCTCCCATTTTCTCAAGTTCGCAAGATAGTTTCATCCATTTTTTTCTACTGTACCTCTTTCCTTCAATCTGTCCCCTGCGTATCAAATTTTCCAAGCTCTCTTTTCTTATTAGATGCCATAGAAATTTCAACTTTCTCTTCCTGATGTTAAGTATAAGTGTCCTCCTTGTTTCAGTTTTCTCTACCACTTCGTCGTTGCCTACTTAGAATTGCTTACATATTCTCAGTATCCTTCTGTAGAACCACAAG